GGGGGAGGTGGTGTGTAATTTTTTAATATTGTCAATTTATATTATCTCCAGAGTAACTATCTCTGAGAGGGGAGATGGTAGGTGGGTAATTTTGTCAATTTATATCTTGATAGTAACTATCTCTGAGAGGGGAGATGGTAGGTGGGTAATATTGCCAATTTATATCTCGATAGTAACTTTCTCTAAGAGGGGAGGGGGGGGAGATGAGTAATTTTGCAGGTTTATATTATATCCATAGTAACTATCTCTGAGAGGGGAGATGGTGGGTGGGTAATTTTGTAAGTTTATATCTCGACAATATGGCATAGGGACTTTGACACTGTCTTCTCCCGGGCTTTGACTTTTCTCATGAAATTTCAATACTGAATGATGACGCCATTGTGTACTAGTCAAACATAACTATCTATGCGCAAACCTGAAACTTTTATCATCTTGTGGGCGTCACTTATTTTCAACATTAAAGGAACTTATCAAATCACTTGTCTAAAACGCCCCCTCCCTCTCACCCCCTCCCTTAAAGAAAGAAACAAGAAAGAAAGAAAGAAGAATAAAATAAAATCACAAAATGCCATATTAAAAAAAAAATACAAAACATTTGGAGGAAACAAACCACTTTTCTAGAATTTCAAAAATTTCGAGAAAACTGATCTCATTGCATTGACACACAAACTCAATACTACGAAACTAAAAACAAACACACACAAACAAAATCAAACCAAATTATTTTTTAAAAATAACACACACACACACACACACAAAAATCCAAACCAAATGGTATAATATAATATACGAAAATGTAACGCACAAACAAAGTAAAATCAAATTAGAAAATTCAAAAAAAATTATTTAAAAAAAAATCCAAACCAAATGGTGTAATAATACATTTAGATATATATATATATATGAAAATATAACACACACAAAAAATTACCACCAAAAAAATCAAAAACCAAATGGTACAATAATAATAATAATATAGATATATAACAATATATATGAAAATATTATGGAATGAGAGATGAAATACCCGGAGAGAGAAAAACGTGTTGGTCACCTAGATCCTCTGCGATGTTGTCGTCATCACAGCTCTCGATGTGGTTCAGAGCCAGAAATCTGGGCATCATCCCTGTCTCCTCGTGCAGGGTGGCGTGCAACAGCGGTCGGTTCCTGACAAGCAAGGGAAAAAACAAAGATCATTTAGATTATTTAAAAGAGGAACAAATGAATCCTTCGAACAACAAAACAAAAAACAAACCCCAAACACCCCACCCCTCACATCCAAACAAAACAAAAAAACAACAACAATTTACACACATAGAAACATGAAGAGATGCACGCAACCCCCCCCCCCACCCCCCACAAAACACAAAACAGAAAATAAAACAAACGTATATATATATTATAAGCAAAAGAAAAAAACAAAAGTAACAACCTCACCACCCCCCCCCCAAAAAAAAAAATTAAAAAAAAAAAAAATCGTTGATGGGACCAATCGTCATAGTTTGGGGGCAAAGAATTAATAAAGTTGCGACAAAATTTCGAAGTACAATCAATTTACATTTGAAAAACATCTCAGTTCTAAAGATCCAACACGCTGTTTTTACTCCAACAGAATGAATATAATATTCATTTCTCAATTTAGACATTATTTCGGCTTTAGCAATTCACTCCAGAAGATCATGTCTTTTTACCATAAAATCTGCTGTAAAATTAACTGTAAACATAATTAACATAATCAGATTTTATAGTTTTATTAGAGGTTTTACGGCGCTCGCAACTGCATACGGTCATATGAGCGCCAGAAGATGAGAGGTGTTACAAGAAAGTAACAAACATAAAAAAGAAGGAGGGGAGATAAGGACAATATATCTATGTTTGATAGGAAAGAAGAAGCAAACCACACTAGAGTACACCCATCGCTCACCTTCTGTGCACGGGGAGGGGAAAGGGGGGTTGTGAGTGAGAGTTTTACGGCATTTGCAACACAATTAGGTCATATGTTCCGAGGTTAGATGAGCTCTTTTTTCTCTGTACGTCTGCATAGGAAGGCAGGGACGATAGATGTTAGATAGGAAAGAAGAAGTAGACCACACCAGAGCACCCGCCAACCACCCACAAATCAGATTTAAAAGCCCCAGCTCGACGTAAAAACAATAACAAAACAGCCAACCACAAAAGCCTTATAACGCGCATTCAACAATAGCCAACGTTAAAATTTGACTCTGACAGGACGGAAAGATAAGGACAACAGATGTTTGACAGGAAAGAAGGAGCAAACAACACCAGAGCACCCGCCAACCACCCACCGGCTATATCTGTGGAACACTTATGATTTGAGACGTTTTTAGACTTAAAACTCTGTCTGACTTGCTCACCCAGGTGACGTGTCTATGTAGTCGCTCATCACTGAACCTTTACGCGGGAAATTTGGGGAGGCGCTTCTGTTACTTCTCCCGCTGGCTCCAGACTGGAACAAAAGGAAAACATGGAGAAAACAATAATTAGACATTCTGGTCACAATATCATCTTTAAAAGATAGCACACATTTCAGTAACATTATACTTAAATAAATTAAAATAGAAGCAACAGAAATGTGGTTCTTATGAGACTGCTAAGAGTATCGTGGAAGGAAAAGAATAAAGAAATCAAATGAGGTAGTGCTTGATGAAGCCCACGTGAGACGCTCACTGTTATAAACAATCAGGAAACGACAAATGCAGTTTTTGGGACACCTGAATAGACATAAGGGTCTTGAACATCTAGCTCTCACTGGCAAAATTGAGGACAAGCGAGGCAGGGGTAGGCCCAGAACAACATACTTAGGGAACCTAAACAAATGGGTAACAGGGAAAGATCAGGGAAACGTAGCTTTTTTGAGAGCATCCGAGCAAAGGAATGAATGGAAAACAATGATCGCCGATGTCTGTCGCAGATCTGGCACTGGATGATGATGATGATGATGATGATGATGATGATGATGATGATGATGATGATGATAATGATGATGATATACTGAAATGCAGCTTTGGCAATTTACTTCTCGTTTTGTTTTAGTACGCGTTTGGCGGCACTTGTAACACAGATGAGTCATATATGAGTGCCGAAAAGTAGAGGAGTTACAAGAGAGTAACTAACACAAAAAAGAAGGAGGAAAAATTAGGACGATAACTTTTGGCTAAAAGTGAGGGCAATTCTGAAAAAGAATTTTTTGACAAAGATTTTATTTTTATACTTAATTTTCTAAGTTTTAGTAGAGGTTTTACGGCGCTCAAAACTGCATAAGGTCATAATATGAGCGCCAGAAGAATAGAGGTGTTACGAGAGAGTAACAAACATAAAAAAAGAAGAAGTGGAGACAAGGACGATAGATGTTTGATAAGAAAGAAGAAGCAAACCACACCAGAGCACCCGCCAACCACCCACACTTAGTTTTTTCTTTTTGGTAAGAGTCAAACACCTGCCCCATATAATTGAGACATTTTGAAGTGGGCGTTTTTCGTGGAGAGGACGGTAAATAGAAAGAAGAAAGAAAGAAAGAAGAATGGTACAGGTTGTTAATTCTATGCTTCAAAGAGAATATGTGAGGCAGCGTGGTGGAATTGGGCTCTCGTCAAAATAATCAAAGTAAAGAAACTGGCATTTTTCCGCAGGTTTGTGAATTTTTTAAATTAAATCTTAGTTTTTTGGCTCAACACCTTTCATGCCCATTAAAGAACTCATTTCTGTGTGGTCTTTTCTGAAAAACGTTGATTAAAGACAAAAAAATAAAATATTTTCAGTTACCCCGGACTCTTATATTAAGGAAATAACTCATCTTTGGCGGCCATTTTCTCACTAATTTCACCTCTGAAAACTGGTGACCCCCACCTCCTTCATCCGCAAATATCTCGACTTGTATTTAAGATAAATGGATATTTTTTTCCATCCAAGTAAAGACAAATGAACAAGCTTTATGATGATACCAATAACTATACATGCCCAAATATTGACGAGAGCCTGATTTCAAATTTTAGTTTTTTGGCTCAACACCTTGTACGTCAATTCAAAAAACATTCTCATAAGTGGATTTTTTTTAATTATAGAAAAATGTTGATTGAAGGCACGGAAAATGTAAATTTGCTGTTTCCGTGGACTCTTGAGCTATGGAAGTCACCAAACTTGGGAAGCCATTTTCTTGCTAATATCACCTCTGAAACCAAGAGACCCCTACCTCCTTCAATCGCAAACACCCCGACTTCTGTTCAAGATAAATGGATATTTTTTTCATCAAATGCAAGGCAAATGAACAACCTTTAAGATGATACCAATAAATCCATATATACCCAAAAATTGACGAGTGCCTGATTCCGCCGCGTCGCGACACAAATAATGTTTCTCCAAGGGATCAGTAAAAAAACCCACAAAACCATTCGTATAATTGTAAAGTATTACGTCCCCATTCACAACAATTAGATCAAAGAATTTAAGAAAAAAACCAAACCCAGAAAGATTATAACCAGGAAAGGCAAAGTGTAGGGACTGACTGCAAGTTTCCAAATGAGAAAGCAAGCAAAAGATTAAATGTGAGGCAGCGTGGTGGAATCAGGCTCTCGTCAAAATAATCAAAGTGAAGAAACTGGCATTTTTCTGCAGGTTTGTGCATTTTTTTTCAAATTTTTGTTTTTTGGCTCAACGCCTTTCGTTTCTGTATGGATTTTTCCTGAAAACCGTTGATTAAAGGCACAAAAAATGTAAATTTGCAGTTACCACGGACTCTTAAGCTAAGGAAATAACTAATCTTTGGGGGCCATTTTCTCACTAATCTTACCTCTGAAAACAAGTGACCCCCACCCCCTTCATTCGCAAATATCTGGACTAGTATTCTAGATAAATGGATATTTTATTCATCCAAATAAACACAAGTGAACAAGCTTTACGATGATGCCAATAACCCTACATGCTCAAAAATTGACGAGAGCCTGGCTCCACCACGCTGCCTCACAAATATCACAAAAACACCAATGTTTTTAACTGGCAATCAAAACCATCAAACCCACTCAAAATAGAGTTGGGGAAAAACGTTAGATTCCCTTCCCCAAGTTGGTTGATTTAAAAAGGTAGATAGGGAATGGGGACAACATTTTGGGGGGAGTAAAAAAGGGTGAATATATTAACTGACAGGTCACGAAAGATGAAATTAATGAAGAATGGTCATCAAATAATTCCAGTAAAGAAAGACACACTATTTATAAATACATATGTGAGGCAGCGTGGTGGAATCAGGCTCTCGTCCAAATAATCAAAGTGAAGAAACTTGCATTTTTCCACAGGTTTGTGAATGTTTATTAAATTTTTGTTTTTTGGCTCAACACCTTTCAGACTCGTTAAATAACTCCTTTTTTGGTGGATTATTCTGAAAAAACGTTGATTAAAGGCACCAAAAAATGTAAATTTTCAGTTTCCACGGACTCTTAAGCTAAGGAAATAACTAATCTTTGGTGGCCATTTTCTCACTAATTTTACCTCTGAAAACAGGTGACCCCGACCACCTTCTTTTGCAAATATCTCGACTTGTAGTCAAGATAAATGGATATTGTTTTCATCCATATAAAGACAAGTAAACAAGCTTTAAGATGACACCAATAACTCTACGTGCCCAAAAAATTGACGAGAGCCTGATTCCACCGTGTCGCGACACATATATTAAATATTCAAAGAGTAATGAAATTTAAGAAACAAATTAAGATCTACGCGTTTTGAAAGCAAAACCAGAACATTCAGAAGATGGAAACAGAATATTATCTTGTGCTGGCTGTACACTGAAAAGGAAAATGAACAAAGACAGGTGCAAGCATTCAATACAGAAATCCATTTATCCACAGAGTAACCTTTTAAAGATTGGAAATAGAAGAGAGCGAATGCCCATAACATCAACATCTTGAGGCTGTTCGCTTCAACTTCAAACTGTTGGACATGCAGTATAAGAAGAAGTCATGCAAAAATACGTTTCCCACTGAGACGCATTCATCCCAAACCGAAAGCTGGATGGAAGAAGCTAAAATGCCAATAGAATTCATTTGACAGCATCTTGGACAGCCAGTCTCTCCATAGACGGGCAAAAGCTACAATTTTCGCTCAATTCGACCGCGTTCGACTGAATTCGATTGTAACCTTTAAATTCAAACACCTTCTGTTTCCAAGGTCACCAGCTGAATCGACGTTCGTATTGTGCCAAAGCGGTAGCTTTTGCCTCGCCATGGAGGAAAATCTGGCCGACCCTGACTCCGTTCGACTGAGTTCGTTTGATTTAGTAAGAGTTTTACGGCGCTCGCAACCGCATAAGGTCATTATGAGTTGATTGTTTGCTGTGTGCACTGGGTAAAGGGAGAGTGATTCTCTATTTCCAGAGAGGCCTTGGGTAGAAAATATTTGTTTATGAACTTGTCGAGCATATACAGACTCTCTCTCTCTCTCTCTCTCTCTCTCTCTC